ATTTATTTGGTTTAAAAAAACAATGAAAAATAATATATTATTTTGTTTGGGTACTTGACAGATTCAAAAAGAAATTGTATCAGGCTTTGATATTTTTATTCAGACCTTATCAAAAATAAAATTGTTGGTATTTGTGAAAGTGCCTGGATGAAACTAATTTGCATATCGTCACTAAATTCAGAACAAGCACTATTTAGTATTTACATCATTATGCAGACATTAGAAGATGTTATTAAATTCACAAGAGATTCGTATAGTCACAGTCCCTATAGATAGATAGTGCCGGCTGATTGGCTGGAAACAAATATTAGTGATTTTCAGGGTTTGAGCGTGGATAACTCAATTTTATGACATATGCTTACTTTACATTATCAGACTGTTTTAATTCTATAATTAAAATAGTTATTCTGTCCCATAGATATCAATGTATTGACACAAATAAATTATCAGGCCCCTGAGTCTGATATTTTATTTATTTATCTTTATTTTCAGACTGTCAAGCATTTGAAAGTCCATATAAAACTAGTATGAAAAATAAATAAATAAATGAACAAAAAGTATATGTATATAGGTCAGTGTGCATATGGCAATATTAATAGTACAAAGTATTATTACAAAGCTTGGAACAAGGCAGACTTCCAACAGATCCGAGATGTATATATACGTAACGCTCTCTAAATTTAAATACAAGATTTCTAAAAATTTTGTAAAAAGACTTTACATGATTGTATACACCCATATGATTTACACTATAATCATGTGGGGCCGGGGGGATATAAAAAAGTGGCACACTTATAAAAATTATTTATAATCCAATTACATGTATAAATTGAGTTGTTACATCACTCATGTTGTGTGTTGCTGAGTTTATGAAGACAGACGTTTTGTTTACAGACATTATGTGATGCCTGCAATTTTGCAAAATAGGAAACTGTTAGCTTGGTGTAACTGTAAGAATCACATAATCGTCACCGCGGATTGCCCAAATACAAATCTGCTAAAACCTGGATGTGGAGTAGGCAATAAAAATAACAATATGCCAAAATCAAATAAAAAATCAAGTTAGGCTGAGAGATAAGAAAGCAAAAAAGTTAATTGTGCTTTAGACACTTATTCTATTATACCTTTTGCCAAATATGTATATTCTATTTTGAAAGTAGTTGATAGTTATAGTTCTGTTTAGTGACCATACTGCTGTATTTGTTTATTTTATTTATTTATTTATTGCTTCCCTTTTGTAACAGGGGCTCAATATGTAAATTAGGAGCTGCACCAAATAAATTATACATTTCACTCAAAGACTAATGAAAAAACTTTTGGTAGACAAAAAGAAACTAAGTTACATGTATATACCGTAAATAGTGTTTTGTCAATAAATTGTTGTAATATTTAACATTGGTGTGACAGATTTCTAGCACTCTGACAGATTATAATGCATTATGTGATACTATTAAGGCCCGTAGGATTAATTTAAACAATAAAAAAACAGAATTGGAGCATTTAGGGAGAATGACAGCTCAGTTTACAGAAATATAGATACCAAATTATTCAATACTTACTCCCCATAGGCGCCTTCGCCAAGAGTTTGCACAAAATCCCATCCTTCAACGAAAGCCGTTACTTCTGTCATATTCCGATATCTTCATAGACAATGACAAGTAAATTGTAAACTGCAATGTGTTGAATTCAGTAAACGGGTTTGTGCAGTGATACTCTCCGGAGTTCACCGATAATAAATCGGGAAATGTTTTGATTGAGGTGCTTCCGGTTAAGTCGAGATTTGACAGCACTCTCTTAGCTCGATGGTTTCTACTGATCTTGAGATGATGAATACCAAATAAACGACTCACACGTGTCCTATGAAGTCACTAAGTGGTCAGCGACGTAACGATGGTGCACAAATCATTCATCGAGAAGGTGAAAACGGAGATACAGTGCGATCAAATCTGGATGTCAACTGTGCGTTTCAAATGTTCGCGCATGTGAGCTCCGTGACGTCATTTTGGAGGGAATCCCTTCTCACGTGACTTGTCTTCCAAAATGGCGTCAGGTGAGATTTCGAGTTTTTAGCATTTCGGCAGGAGTACATAATATTTAAATAAAAACTTGGATCTTTTTACGAATATAAATAAGTTGGTCTCATATCCGGCGATGAAATTAACACTGTGTTGTGAATTGCATGCTGATTCATCAACTGCTATCGATTGATTTCAACCCGGAAGTAGTCACCTAATCAAAGTTCCCGATAGGACTGTGTCCATGCATGGAACTACAAGGTGGTTTATAGTTCCATGGTTCATGTCAACTGTTTTAGTAATTTATTATTTTTCCTAACGTTTTAATCTAAAGGCTCAATCAAAAAAGTGGGCGACTAAATCGTATAGTTTCACATAATTAATAATTCAAACAAGTAGGCGACAAATGTTTTAATTTTGAAGAGTAGAAGTAGATTTTGGGTTAATCCTGTGTTTTTTTATTTGTAATGTCATCTAAATACTTTCCAAAAACATATTTAGTTATCATTCTTATTTTTTTTTTCAAGACTTTCTGTGAACACCCAAAACTCTCTTACAGAATTTTATGTGGAACTTTTCATCTAAGAACTTCTCAGAAAACAATTTTGAAGTAAATTTATCATTTTCTATAACTTTATTTTAATTTTGCCTGAACCATTAAAGCGTGGTGGTCGTCGCACAGCGTGTGTGTTCGAATTTCATGTAAATAAACAATGTATTTTACACGCGTTGTATACGTCGTTATGAGTCTCATACCGAACAGGACACGGCACGACGACTACCACCCTTTAAATGTATTCACATGAACAATTCCTCATATATCTGCCCCATACAGTAAAGTGGGTTTGACCACAGAGCCATAAAGCAAGAAACTAGTAAGTAACTATAAGTGACCTGAAGGGGGGTATATCATAGAAATTGCAATTGGGGAGAAGCACTGGTTAGGCATGGTTAGGATTAGAGTTATGAGTGAGGGGTTCTTAAGAACTTTTGCCAAAAACTGGACCCAACAAGATTGACGTTGAGGTTCTTTTGCTCATAAATTGGTGTTTTACTTCAACATTTTTTTAAAATGTCCAAAAATCATCAAATTTTCGGTGAAAAAGTTTGACTAAACCCTAAAAATGGGGTTAAAACAGCAGCACATACTTGAGCCATGGGGTAGCCTCCCAGACTCTGATTAGTCACATGGAAAACATATTTTTATTATACTTTTTTTTTAAAAAGGTGCACAAACTTCATATACGACCAGTTATAGTATGTTATATGGGCTTTTAATGGAAAAAAATATGGTACATGTGCCTCTTTTATTTGTCCCTGTTCAGGGAATTATGTTATGACCCTTGTGTGCGAGTGCGTTTGTCTGTATGTATGTGCATATGTGTATCTGCATGCTCCACTTGTATCTTGGATGTATCTGAACAGATTACCGTTATACACTTCATATGTACATCATGTCATCTTAGGTTTCTTATACTTTTGCGATACGATTCAAGTTTGTCAGTTGGTGGCCAATTTTGTTCTAAAATATTCATCAAAATCAAGCATTTAGAACTGAATCTCGGTAAATGATTGGTACATCAGTGATTTTTTTAAACAAAGGAACAGGGGCGCAGCACCCTCATGCTATGGCCATGTGTCCCCTTACCTTGGGGAGCAGATCCTCTGGCAACCATAAAACTGTGACCTATCTGATAGTAATTTTTGTCCCGCCATAGAATGCTCAATTTTAACAAAAACACTATTTCCCCCACTTGATGACACCGCTGAATTGCTGTTTTTTTCTAGAAAAACCGCTGGTACATACATTGGGCCATTCCAGTTTATATCTGCACCCCCCTATTGATGAGCTTGTGTGTTTACTTCATACAGGGTATAATTTCCATGGGTGTATAAGTCATACAATGTTTTATTTCCAAATCACCATTCACCATACAGTAATGGAAATCCAAAACTATAGTTCCTACTTATGGTGTTGATGAGTTCCATTGTGCCACCATACAGAGTAGGATTTCCAAATATAACTCTCATCATATGCTAATTTACCAAGTTCAAAATTTTATATTTGATAATCGAAATCCAAACTAGTCCTGATTCACAGTATTGATGAGCTCATTCGTGCCACCATCCTTAAATAATTTCAGTAATAACTATTTCATACTGGCCCAATTTTTTTACCAATTTTTTTTTAGTCATACTGTTGGAAATCCAACCTCATCAACTGGTATGTGGCGACATAAACTAGGCCATATTTTATTTAGTAGCCATAACTGCCTGGATTTCCAGGAATTTTTTTTCCATACTCGTCTGGATTTCCAGATTCTGTTTCTCAATATACAGTTGGAATTCCGGGGTATTTTCCCCATCATAAAGTGCTGGAAATGCGACCACATCAACAGGGGGGGGGGGGATGCAGATATAAACTGGAATGGCCCATTGGAAATTCTGGAACCTTGATGCATGCCATTTTGTTTTTCAGATCAGATTCAAAATGGCTGACTGGCAGCCATTTGGTTTTATGAATGATGTTCGAAAGCTGTGTCTCAAATTTACCCTTACTGATCATGTTCAAATTTAATATGCATCATGTAACATATTTTTTTTGGTGATCCAATTCAAGATACCTGAAATGCAATTCCTTTAATATTACAATTTCTTTAAAATCAAACAATTCTCGATTTGGATCTTGATACGTGCATTGACAGTTTTTATTCAAACTTGGTATGTACATTGTTATGGGACCTTGATTCACATCATTTTATTTGTCAGATCAGATTCAAACTGGCCATCTGGTGGTCATTAGTGAATACAGTTCTGGAGCCATATGTCTGATATGCTCTGACATATTCAAACTGTTTCTATAGGAGCATTATGTTCTTTGCTTAGACTTCCCGTATAAGATGAAATGTGTATGATTTAGTGAATGCAGTTCGAGAGTTGCATCTCTGACATGCCTTGAACGTGGTATCTAGTGTAAGAAATAGACAAGGGATGAAGGCTCCAGCCAGCTCACATTTTTTAAACTTGAAAAAACATACGAAAAAAATGAAAAATAAAATCTAAAAAAAATACCAGGTTGAAGAATATTAGTTGCTCCTTCGAATTTCCCCAAAGCCCTAACTACATTTTACCGATATCTGCAGAATAAATCAACAAAACTACACAAATTGACTCCATTTAGGAATTCCTAACGGTTAGTCCGAACGCATGACACCGTTGGAGAATGTATTCCAAGATTGTAAGCTTCATGTACTAACGAATTTGGGTTAGAATTATTTATTTTGATCCAATATTTGATCATATATTTTAAAGCTTGTTGCTAGGAGAGGATATCTTTCCACTCTAGGTAGGCTTGCCAAATTACTTGCTTTGCTATTTACTTTTAAAGGTATTTGCAAAATGTATTTGTACTTTTTCCATTGGTGTTGACAGATTTGCCATTAATGCGATTTATTGATGTTCTCACTCGTCCAAATTTCACTGCAGTAAAGCATAATTGGTTTTACAATTGCATCGAACATTTTTAAGTATGTTTTGATTGGAATTAGTTTTTCTGAGAATAACATTTGTTTCATTTTGAAACATGCCTTCATTGCTCTAGCTCTGAGGTCTTCTTGTGCTCCGATGAATTTACCTGATTTGTGTAGTTTAATGCCGAGGTATGTGTAGGTTTTTGTATTTTCAAGTTCCTTTCCACCAACATAGAATTTTAATTTGTCCTGTAATTTTTTTGACCTACTAAACATGATGATTTTTGACTTCGAGATATTAATATTGAGTTTCCATTTCTGACAGTAAGTTTCAAGAGAATTTATGGCATTTTGTAAGCCAGTATGTGATTGGGATAATACTACAAGGTCGTCTGCATATAGCAGACATGAGACTTGTGTTTAAGAGACTTGGTGGGTCATTACGAGCCAAGTCTTATGATGTTTTAATGTCAAACATATGCATATATATTCGTTTGATGATCAGATTCAATGAATGGCAGTCATTCTAATGTTGAAAGTTCATCAAAATCTTCTGCTATTTCAGAACCAGATCTTGGGTGTTTGGATGGATTGATTTCGTCAGAGTTTGATATCCACATTGGAAATTATGTGACCTCGATTAAAATCATTTAATTTTTATTTCTATTTATTTTTTATTTTTTTTTAATGTTTTTGTGCCAGGCGACAGTTGTGGACATTGAGTGTCACTGTTGTCTTTCCTGACTTTTTTTTTTTTTTGTACGTGCAAATTGCAAGTACTAGTGCTGACACATAGTGCATTTTGCCACAGAAGTCATATTCATGTTTGGGACTACATGACAGGGCTGTGTGGCCATCCTTCTGTCAAATGGCAATTTTAATGCGCTATCCTTGCGTCAACCAGGCTCGGTCGAACACAAGCACCTGCGGACATTAACCAAGGTTCCTCCAAAGTGAATGAATCTCGGCCAGTGGAAATGACCTTCCCTTTGAGTCTGTGGCACACTCACCCAGGGTAGGGGTCGACTCGTTTGATGTTCAGCCTAAGGTAGGATTTGAACTTGGGTCTACCGATCATGATGCAACAACCACTATGCCACCAGTAACCGTTTTTTTCAGATTTTGTTTTGTTGAATGCAGTGGTGGAGTCATATTCTGAAAAATTCTTTAATCTGTTCAAACTTTACCAATTGTTTTTTTTAAACTTGAAAACTTACAGTGACCATGTGATGCAACTACCTGTGTTATTTTCCAGCATTCAGGATTGCTTTGATACAGCTAGCTGTGACTGCAAATAAAGTTGAGAACCTTACCAGAGCATCTAAACTGATCTCAGAAGCTGCCAAGAGTGGCGCCAAAATTATCTCATTACCGGTGAGTGAACAATATTATCTCAGGATATGTTTGTCAACTTGCATGATAGTGTATAGAAACATTTCAATTAGTACGTTTTTTTCCTCGTCCTTGCTGACACTTGATTGCCTGATGTGAGGGGGAGGGGGGAGGGGCGAGGGGGGATACCTGGTACAAGAAATAAAAAGGACATTTTACATTTTTACAGAAAATAAAATGAAAATTCCATTTACAGTAAAACATAGGTTTTTACACTTTACAGATAAAGAAAATTCCTAATTACATTTTTATAATATATTTGATAATTTGAGTTTAAGAATCAAAATTGGAAACTGCGTACTAATTACGACATTTAATGTAGAAAATGCTTTCTACGCTTATAAAAACTAGGGGCTTTGTACAAATTACAGACGAATAAAATAGCTGATTATATTTTATACCTTGCCCATGCCTACAAATTTACGTTTTTTATTTATCGTAAATTACATTATTACGAAAATAAAAACAATTGATTGCAAAAATACCCCTTGCCGACCCTCTGGTATTACACACTACAGCTGCTCAAAGATTTGCTGTGATGTAATTAGTTATGCTAATTGACTCGTGTGTCTTAGATGCAACAGAAAAACATCTTACATATATCTATGGAATTTGTAATTTGGTAAAATAAGATTCACATTTTATAAACAAAGTAAGTGTAAATACAAAGAAAATTAGTGGCCAAAACAATTTTGTTTGTTCCTCAGTTTGCCTATGTGATCACATACAGTTTTTTTTTTTTTTTTTTTTGTAGACTGTCAACGAACAGACTCAACTTGATTTTTGGAGATCCCATATTGACACACACTGACACGCATATTGTATAATAACATCATTCCATACTCAAGAACAATATATCTGTACAAAAATAACAATTAAACTTCTATGATTGGCCATGTCAGAAATTCTGTATTATTCCTTCAAAGGAATAATCTAGTTAAAATACAATTACCATGGCTGAAGCCGGTCAAATAATTCACTTGTGTGATACACTAAAAATTTGGTGATCGATGCAATATATGTGTAGAACAAATCTGCACTAATTCAGTCAGAATTTTTGATGTTCAATCATTTCAACCAGAAAGCATTCAGTATCTTTTCAGAAACCACAAAATTAGTTGTATATTGTTATTTGAATTCTCCCAATATGAATTGAAATATTGTATTTGTTGACCCATACATTATTATGCAAAATTAGTTACCAGGTAGTTTGGTTATTACAAAGGAAAATATACCACAGCCGGAGAATCAACTGCTGTTATAAATCTTTTACTTTTTAGCAAGAATAGAGATATATAATATCAAAGTTATTATGAGAAACAAAATAGAATAATGCTACGGTAGCTAACGTTGTGTTCTGTCAGTTGATACAGTCATCGTACATATGTACACAGATATAGTACTGTCATTTTTATTGTAATTCACTTTGCATAACAATTTTCTATTGTTTCAGGAATGCTTTAATAGCCCATATGGTACTAAATATTTCCCGGAGTATGCAGAGAAAATTCCGGGACAGTCTACAGAAAGTCTCTCTAAGGCTGCAAAGGATAATGAAGTCTTCCTTGTTGGTGGTGAGTTTAATTTGATTTAATGCAATAATAATGTGAGGGCAGTATTTTATGGCACTGCGCACAGTAAAGGTCATATTTAATACTACTCTACTGTGAGGGCAGTATTATATGCTACTCTACTGTGAGGCCAGTATTTTATTTAACTGTACCGTGAGGGCAGTATTTTATGCTGTACTGTGAGGGCAGTATTTTATGCTCTACTGTGAGAACAGTATTTTATGTTATGCATTCCCATCTGTATCTCTCATACTCAAACTTCACACATACGTCATACATCTTTGGATGCACCGACTCAGTTGAGTTGACCGAATGGTGGCTATTTTTGTGCTAAAAATTCATCATACTCAAGCTTTTCCACCATTTATGAACCGGATCTCGATCGCGTATGGATACATTATTTTAGGGAATGCGGTTCCTGAGTCATATCTCTGACATGCTATGACTGGTCATGTTCATACATTATATATACATCCTACATCATATTAAACATATGCATATATATTCATTATATGATCAGATTCAAAATGGTCGAACGACAGCGATTCTAATGTTGAAAGTTCATTGACATTTTCTGCCATTTCTGAAATGGATCCTGGTTGCATGTAAATTGATTTTGTTAAAGCTTGGTATCTACATTGGACATTTAGTGACCTTGATTCAAATCATTTTTTTTTCAGATCAAAATTTAAAATGCCGACTGGTGGCCATTTTGTTTTGTTGAATGCAGTACAGGTGCCATGTCTCTGATCTGCTCTTACAGTTTATGTTCAAACTTTAGAATAATATATATTTTTTGAGCTTGATTATGCACAGAGATTATTTTATGCTGTTACTTGTTAATTTTACGTTTCTGTTACTCTACTGTCAGGATCCATTCCAGAAGAAGACAATGGTAAACTGTACAATACGTGCACTGTGTACAATCCAAAGGGAGAAATGATTGCAAAACATAGAAAGGTATGTAAAGTTTATTGTTAGGACGAGTAAAAGAAAACATTTCAAGTTCCTGGATTCTGGCTGTCGTTTACCTGGATAGTGTTTACGTACATGAAATTGTTTTTTGCAACTTTGATATCATACGGTGTGATGAAAATCTCATGATATCTATGGTCAAACGTGCTCGTCATACATATTGACCAATGGTGTCACAGAATACAGTGGTTGATTACGTAAACAGTAAGATTTTATTGCCATAATCAATAGCACTCTTATTCTTGTGTATATTTTTGAATGTACAAATAGATGCCAAGATATTAATGTCTTAGAATGTACATATCATTTTTGCTATATTAGCACAGGGAGCCAAGAAACTATGATCAACTGTACGCACTCCCTATGAGCGAGGGTGGGTTATCGGCTGGTATCTAGTGTAAGAAATAGACAAGGGATGAAGGCTCCAGCCAGCTCCCATTTTTTAAACTCGAAAAAACAGACGAAAAGAATGAAAAATAAAATCTAAAAAAAATACCAGGTTGAAGAATATTAGTTGCTCCTTCAAATTTTGCCAAAGCCTTGCTTAAATACCAGTTGAGCAAGGCTAACCGAGTCGTGACCTCGATGTGGTTCATAACCAGTCTTATGATTGGTTGTTGACAAAATGCTGAACAGGCCACGCCTCCAACTGTGCCGTGCGTTTGGGCAAACCAATAGGAATACCTAAATGGAGTCAATCTGTGTAGTTTTCTTGATTTATTCTGCAGATATCGCTAAAATGTAGGTAAGGCTTTGGCGAAATTTGAAGGAGCAACTTATTTTTTGTTTATACATACATTGATGTCACTTTGTTTACCTATAATAAATGTTTTGAAATCTTTTTTGTTTTTATCTAGATTCATTTGTTCGATATTGATATTCCCGGAAAATTCAAATTCAAGGAGTCTGATGCTCTGTCACCAGGAAACACTCTGACTGTCTTTGATACAGGTGAGAAATGAATATAAAGGTTAAAGTACAGTATTTTTAACAATGTTAATTAATCATTGAGCTGATATTATTTGTACCTGAATTTTATCTGTCTGTGTGCAGTTTGCATACAAATTCCAGCTGTCTAGATGCTGTACATGAATTCATTCTGTCTAAGTGGTATTTGCATACAAATTTATTCTGTCTGGGTGCTGTTTACATATGAATTCTAGCTGTCTAGGTGCAGTTTGCATACAAATTCCAGCTGTCTAGGTGCAGTTTGCATTTATTTCCAGCTGTTTGGGTGCTGTACATGAGTTCATCCTGTCTAAGTGGTATTTACATATGAATTCCAGCTGTCTAGGTGCTGTTTGCTTATGAATTCCAGCTGTCTAGGTGCAGTTTGCATATAAATTCCAGCTGTCTGGGTGCTGTACATGAATTCAATCTGTCTTGGTGGTGTTTGTGCACATGAATTCCAGCTGTCTAGGTGCATACAAATTCCAGCTGTCTAGGTGCAGTTTGTATATTAATTCAAGCTGTCGAGGTGGTGTTTGTGCACATGAATTCCAGCTGTCTAGGTGCATACAAATTCCAGCTGTCTAGGTGCAGTTTGTATATTAATTCAAGCTGTCGAGGTGGTGTTTGTGCACATGAATTCCAGCTGTCTAGGTGCATACAAATTCCAGCTGTCTAGGTGCAGTTTGTATATTAATTCAAGCTGTCGAGGTGGTGTTTGTGCACATGAATTCCAGCTGTCTAGGTGCATACAAATTCCAGCTGTCTAGGTGCAGTTTGTATATTAATTCAAGCTGTCAAGGTGGTTTTTGCATATCTATAGCCACCTGTCTAGGTACTGTTTGCACATGCATAGCCAGCTGTATATAGATAACAAAATTTTACCCCTCATGTTTAATTTGTAACAACAAATATCATTTTGGTTTTATATTACATTGTTTGAAAAACTTCCAAAAAAGTCACCAAGAACACATCCATGCCCATTTAAGTTTTCTATCATAATTGATTGATCATTTGCAGGAAAATATGCACCTAAGACACAGATCAGTGGATTTTGATTTTTGGTGTCAGACATCAACATCAAATCATTATGACGAGAATAGTCAGTAGCTGATCAAAATGAGTGGCAGGTGATTGGTACATTGCAACACTCTAGTGGTGCCAATCAAGTTTTACTTTGTTTTTATGAAAGACTGACCATACCTAATGTTGTCAACAATAAAACATATATCCCAATTGTATACTCAAACTTTATTATGTTTCTTGATAGGTTTTTGTAAAGTTGGTATTGCTATTTGTTACGATATTCGGTTTGCAGAGATAGCACAGTTATATTGCAAGCAAGGTAAAAGGGTTTTATTCTGACAATAGTTTTATATTTAGTGCTTTTTATATAATACCATTTATTTTCACTCTCATATAATTTCACTATATTGATGTTTTCACTAGGGTTAATGAATTTTGACCGGGAGTTATACTGTTATTTTATATGTTCACATGATTTTGTTCAGCAGATTATACTTACTAGCAAAACTAAGCTAAATTAAAACCCAGTGAATAATTAAAGCATTTATAATACCTTATGATTTGTATTAACTTCATCATAATATTTTCCACAAAAACTCAGTCATTTTTTTTCAAAATCTTATAATATAAACATCTCACTGTTTTGTGAACAAAATGTCAGTCTCAATAACTGTTCTCCTAAAATTGAGAGAATTGTTTTTCTAGTGCTAGATAATATCTACATCTTTGTTGCAATTTATATTGTACTTATTTAACAGGATGTGGTCTTCTTCTTTACCCTGGAGCATTTAACATGACAACTGGCCCTGCACATTGGGAAATATTGCAAAAAGCAAGGTAACCACAGCATGTAACACAAATAAGAAACAAATTAGTCATATTAGTATTGCTTGAAAAGTAAAAATTGGAAGTGATAATGAAAATACATTATTCAGATAAAAATCAAGTGAAAGAATCTTGATTGTTTAGATGAATGATCCATTCTGATTTTGGAAAACAGTGGATGTTATAGTTGTTCTGGTGTTGTTCAATCAGGTGATAGTATACTTTGTCAAAATCCTGTAGTCGTAAGTCAGACTAATACTAATAGTCTGATAACTGGGATCATGTGGTATCGATCAACCAATGAAAACAGTAAACTATTCAAATTAAACAGTCCACAAAATTATAATTTATTATAACCTTTTTTTTTCTGGACAAGAGTTTTCTATACTTTAATATAATTTATTTTAGCAGGAATTAATTTTTGCTGAAAAGACTTTTTGGGTGTTTTGTATGGAATTTATTTTCAGAGATTTTTGACAATTTGAATGTAAAATATAGAAGAAAAGGTATATTCGACGGATTTTAGTTTTACTGAATCATTCCTTCAGCGAAAATAATTTAAAAGTATTTTACATTATTTAAAGATGGGAATGCTTTGGGAAAATGTGCTAGCATCATTCAATTTATTCATCATTTTCGTTGTCACTTTCAGGGCTTTAGACAACCAGTTATATGTGGCTGCCATATCACCAGCCAGAGATGAGACTGCTTCGTACATTGCATGGGGACATACTAGTGCTGTGAATCCATGGTAAGTGAAAAGATTTTTTTCAGATTGAAAGAATCATGTCTCACAAATCTCTCACTAATGACCATAAGATAAAAACTTGTTTTTCTCATATTATTGATTATATGCCTTTATCAGCTTTTCACTTTTCCTTAAAAACAGTCAGCTGTATGGTGAGGACAAGATGTGTAAAATGCATGGTGATTTGCTAACTTTACCTACCGGGTACTCCCCAGTTGAGATGTACACTACTGTTAGCTATATCCAGTTGTACTATAGCTAGTACACCACAGTTTTCTTCAAACCTCCATTGCTCGTGAAGCAGTGTTGTGGGATCTGCCATTTCTGAAGGCTTATGTTTCATATACAATACTTGGAAAACAGATCCCTTGATCAGGTCACACTACATAACACTAAAATTAGCTCGCTACTTGATCTGGTACTCGCTACTGGTACTAATTTCAATAACATAAAAAGGCGTGCAAAATGCATTAAATAAACTGCAAGATTATTGCCAAAAATGGAAAATCAAAGACAAAGTAAATCTTGCGAAAACTAAAATTCTTATATTCAGATGGGGAACACTACATAGAGATGACAAATTCTATTATCAAAATTAGAAACTTTTTCAGTATCAACTAGTACTGTAACAATTTTGGGATAATCTTTCAGTCAAATGGAAAATTTACAGAAGCTAGAGACAACCTAGCAGATAAAGCAATCAAAGCCATGTATGCACGAAAGTAGTCTTTACCAAAAGAAACAGACTGTAAAACATACATCCATATATATGATTATGATGATTGGTTAACATTTAAATGATTGACATTTGTATCTGATCGTATTGAGTATTGAGAGAATTGCTCTGGAACAGCATTAATTAAAACAAAATCATCCATTTTGAATGCATACCAGTCGGCCATTTTGAATCTGAAAACAAAATGATGTGCTTCAAGGTTCTATAATGTACCCCATATATACCAAGTTTGAAAAAAATCCATCTGTAAACAGCCGAGAAATGCTTAATTTTGACGATTTTTTAGCACAAAAATGGCCACCATTCGGCCATTTTTAATAGGATCATCAAACCCATATTTCTGTATATCTATGACATGATGTATAATGAATATTTATAATTTAAACATAATCAGTCACTGCAAGTCAGAGATATGGCACTAGAACCACATTTATTAAAATAAAATGACCGCCAGTCGGCCATTTTGAATCTTATCTGAAAACAAAATGATGTGCATCAAGGTCCTATAATGTCCAACGTATATACCAAGTTTGAACAAAATCCATCTGTAAACAGCCGAGAAATGCTTGATTTTTAGAACAAAAATGGCCGCCATTCCGCCATCTTGAATCAGATCGTGAAACACATTGATGTGCATGTGTATAATATCATGTATGATGTATGTATGAAATTTGATTGTGATTGGTCCAGGCATTTCTAAGATACAGGTCCGGAAGCACAGACGCATGGACACACAGATGTCAAAAGATAAGTCCTCGTTTTTGGACTGCGTCCAAACGGGGACTAAAAAGTGCATCTAAAATTCATTAAACCACTACTTGGGCTTAATAAATACACAGCGAATAATGCATGTCTTGGTGAAATTGGAGCATTTCCATTGATAACTGAAGTGAAAATTAATGTGATTAAGTTCTGGTCCCATGTCACAAACAAGTCACAAAATAATTGTGTAATTTTGTATTTTATATCTGCCTTCCTCATTCCGACTACGACTGGCACTCTTCATCCACTAACGCATCAAGCTTTCGCTAATCATCTGTCTTTGTTACTGAAGGCGATTGGCCTTGATCCAGCCTCATATTCCGGACACAGTTTTCGCCGTGGCGGTGCGTCATTTGCCTTCCAATCAGGGGCTGAGCCGGATGCAGTCAAAGCTCAAGGAGATTGGTCTTCTCAAGCGTACTTATTGTACTGTAAAGGGGGTAATTATTCACTGGGTTTTAATTTAGCTTATTTCGCTGACTGGAAAAATGTGCTAAATTAAAACACAGTGAATATGTAAAATTGAGCATAGGACACATTATCTAAATGACGAAAGCGTGAATTTAAAACCCACTGAATATGCCTGAAATGGTAAATCAGTGAAATTTAAACCCAGTGAAAATTAGTCATTTTACAGTATATGGAATCGTCGTTCGGCCATCGTCTCCGTACTGCTGCCTGCATACGCACTGCAATTGAGGAAGGGAATCTCTCACTGTCTCTTTGATTTTCAGTTTTGGCGGTTTTTATTATTTTGGCCTTTTTGTCTTGTTGGCTGGTGAACATGATCAGCAAAACTCATTGTTTCGTTAGTGAATAAAACGAAATTAATTATCCGCCAAAACTCTTGTTGTGTTTTGTTTGAACTGAGAGAATTAATTATTCCCGTGAATTTTATTATTTGCACTGCGCGCATGCGCATTGTCTTGTTGTATTTATGCAAATGATTGTTTCACGCATGCGCAATTTTGATGTAGTTAGTAGCGTCCTTTGTGCTTTCAAGTCAACCGTGAACTTTTCGA